TTATATTAAAACTCAGATTTCTTTTTTTTTTGTTGTTATAATTTTAAATCAATTGTAGAAGTAAATTAAGCTATGATAAGAATTATTCCATAGTTTAATTAATATACTTTATTGATTAATTTAATCGATGATAGTTTACATATGAATGAACTGGTCGTTAAATGATGAATGTAGAAAGAATAGAATGAAAATTGTTGTCGATAGTGAGTTAGTTGTCAAATGCTTAATATGCAAATTACATGAATGATGTAAAAGAATAGTTGAAAGGAGAAATAAGAGAGAATGATGAACGAGTACTTAATTAACCTTATCTTCTTCATATTGTGGAGAAAATGTTATTGTTATTGTTGTTGTTATTGCTGCTGTTGTTGCTTCTATTGTTGATATTTAACTGTCATGAATATTACTTTAGTTCAATTAGCTGCTATTAAGCATTATTAGTTTGGATTTATTTGCTTAGTTAATAAGAATTAAACATTTCAAATGGATAAAATTAACACACTATTATTTATCATATTGCTAGCAGAAATAATTTGATTATAATTTCATTGAAATTCTTTCACCAACAATAAATCATATTTCTCAAAATAATTGAATAATTATCCCATCAATTCGATATGGTCAAGAAGTGCACATTGATCAGTTTTTTTTATGTTTGTAAAATTGCAATAGTTTGCAATATTTGATTGCGAATCATACAGGTAATATAGGTACAGGTAGTACATATATAACTTTAGCAAATATTTTTTGAATTCTTGTTGTTTAGTTTGTCAAATGCTAACGATTATCCATTTAGATTTTAGATGAATTTTAGAACTATTAATTATTATTATGAAAAAATCATGATTAAAGGATTAGCAACAAAGATTTTCCTTTTAATTTAATTTAATCCTTTTAATTTTCTTAAGGCCCATTTGGTTTAATGATATTGCTCCCTCTAATAGATCATAGTGCTGCGGCAATTATCATTTTTCAAATATGAGCCATTTTATGAATCAAAATTAGACATATCATGACAAAATTTTACCACATCTACGCTAATATCTCATCTACCGATCTCCCTCTCCCTCTCTCTCTCTCTCTTTCCCAAATATCTTCATTTTGAATCTACTACTCTCCTCAGCTATCAACTATCCTATTTTGTTTCAAATTTTATTCATTCATATCTAACGCCACGTATATATACAGATACATCACGCTTACTTCACGTGTTACGCGCTTTATCTATTCATAGATTATTTCCATAATGCAGCTTTTCACGTTTACATTTGATCAGTTTGTGCAAAAGGCGAAAAAATACCGCGGATAAAATATTCTTCGCGGTATATACTCTCATGCACTTCTCTGTGTATGTGTGTGTGTGTGTATGCATATGCATATGAAAGTGCATGTATCTGTCAAAAAAACAGATACACGATGAATAGGCCTCTCTGCATTGGTTGGCATACGCTTATAATTGATGATGTTTAGGGCCTATATTGTGTTAACCCGGCAGATGTGTTTCCATTATTATTCATTGGTAAAAATTGACTTTTCTGCTACAATTAGCTTTTATTTTCTCTCTTTTTATTGGCCTTTGTATAGGAAAAAAACAATGAATAGATTCACTCTATTTCAGGTTTTATATTTCAGGTTTCACATAAAATCATTCGTACAATTTTGCTCATTTTAGAACGACCAATCTCAAATCTATGTTAATTATCATACCAAAATACTGTTAATTAGCTTCATAAAAACCACTTTAGTCATTAAATGATTCTGAAGTGGTACTTGAAAAATTATAATTTAAGTTTTGGAAGGAACACTATTTATTTGCTACTCTACGAAAGTGTTCTTGCACTTGCAGTTTTCATGATAACTAATTATAAATTAGCAGCAATTTCCATTATTGCCACCGCAACATTAATTGCTATCTTTTGTTAAGAGCCCAACACTTTACTGCACTTCAGAAGCTTTTAGCTGGTTAGGATGTAAAATTTGTATTTCCCTTTTCATTCGCAAATATTGTTATAAGCTAAGAATAGCTTATTTGACTTGCAAATTTCCCCGTAATTATCATATTGACGAATCAATAACATGATAATATTTTCATTGCAAATAACATTTAAAAAAGGATGCGAATGAAATTTTGTTAGAAAATGAAATAAAATCACATAATAGTTTTATTCCTGAAACTCTTCAACTTTACTGATAATAAAACCGTTTTGAAATCTTAAGATGTTGCGAACATAAATTTCTTGTAAATCAAATTGAAAATAAATGCTGTCCTATTTATTCTTCAAAGTGTAACATTTTGCTGTGCTCAATCAATTAATCAGTGTAAATCACATTTACTTACCTATCATTAATTAATTAGTTGCCAAACGATTTTTTTCTTTTTCTTCTTTATAATTAACATACTATTATATTTTCATCTAATCACTAAGTTTTATTTTTTCCATTTTGATTAATTGAAAATATTTAAAACACTAAGTTTACAATGCAATACCTTTTTTTCATATACCTTTTTGTCAATACATTTTTCAAAATTTTTCTATCAAGGCTTTTTCAGTTTTAATTGATATCGTCTCAGTAGAATTTCTCTTTAGAATTTCTTCTTTCCTCAACCTTCGATGAATGTTTTGTTTACTTTTCTTCTCAACTCTTCAATCATTTTCTCTTCAGAATAAACGAACAAACTGAATTAATTCTTAATATCGATCCATTTTTTTCTCCCTTACTATTTTACAGTTTTTCGTTCTTTTTCCTACATCAATCATTTAGGAAAAGTTTAATTTAAAATTAAATTTATTTGTTTTTTTCAATTCATTGGATGAACGAATATTTATGTATCGCCATTGTTAAAAGCATTTCAATCAATTATTTTAATTAAGGAAAATACGTTGAATTGCGTTGAAAATTTTTGTGCATATTGAAGAACTTTATAAGAAATAATCAATCAATCGATAATTCTTTTTTAAGAATTATCGATTGGTTGATTATTAAAAATTAGTGCTATACGTATACCGGTAGTTCATCGCGATACTGTTCGATATTATCATATCATACTTTTTCATACTTTTTATCATACTTTTTATCATACTTTATTATCATACTATATTATCATATATTATCATACTATTATCATATTATCATACTTATATTATTATCATACTTTTTAAAATTTAGCAAGAAAGTATTACTTCGTAAATTTTTAAAGGATAGTTAAAGATCATTTAACAGACATTTTTTGGAATCAAATAATAGAAATTTTTGTTGGGGAACATTTAAATACAAAATTTCGCATTTTAAAGCATGGAACAGGAAAGGCATGCATGCATGCTACTGATGGGCAGCAATTGCGTGACTGAACAGAAATGAAGAGGAGTAGTGGACATGCTAGACCATCTCGATGGCAGCTGTAAAATTCATTGAATTTCAATGAATGAATCCAATCCATTTTATAATACAGATGTATGCCTTCATTCCCTCCCTATTCTTTCTAGAATTCGATTAGTTATGAATTTCAGCAATGATATTTCCCTCTCTTTCGCTCTCTTTGTTTATACAATTATTTACATGATGTAAACTTTGTCTATAGGTTGGATAATTTAATTTTAAAAGGAAGATAAGTCTAGCTGAAAAAAACGATACCCATTTCTAATACTATTTTATTTGTTGATAATATTATTTATTTAAGCAATCAATGATATTATCTGTCATTTAATTGAACATTGTTGAAAGATTTAAAGCCTTATTTCATCTTATTGCACTGTGCAATACATAATTCATAAGGTGGAATTATTTTTTCAACTATGCCTAATAATGAAATGGTATTACAATAAACATTCATAGAAAAGATAAGGAAGTGAAATTGATATTAAATGATAAAAAAATGAAGTAAAATTGATATCAGTTGATAATATTTAATTTGTTTATTGAAATTGATAAGAGAATTAGCAAAAATTTGAGAGTGAAATGATCAAATAATATACAAATGTTATAGTGATTTGTATGTTTACTTATTGTTCTCTTCTTGTTTACATTTTCATTGATTTAATTCTTTATTTACTTAGGATGAAAATAAATTCAATCTAAAAATATTAATAATTATATGAAAAAGAATGCCTAAAAATGCCTTAAAAAAATAACTTTATAAATATTTGAATTATTCTAATATTTACATATTTATGATAATAATAAATAATTGCCAAATATTTCTTCTACAAAATTTCATTATAGAAAAATGACAATTTTATTTTTGCAGAAAAATATCAATGCTTGCGATAGTATAAAATTTTATTTCATTTTTTACTATATCTATTAAAATTTTTTTATTTCGAATTATAACTATTACGAGTAACTAAGTATTCCGATCAAATGATCTTCTATTTCCAATATTTCTAATGATGTAATATTCTTCATTTCTCCTAAAAAAAGGTGGAAAACTTTTTGTTGCATATCGTATGAATTCTCTAGAAATCATTGATTTATAATTTGAAACTTAATTGCATTTTAAATTATTTTTTATTCAATCTTTCATGTATTTTACATTTGAAAATTTTTCAAAATTTGTTAGTATAAATTGTATTGTTTTATTGCTTAGTTACATATTCGTTGTATCATATGTGGTTTGCAGAAAAAAAGAATATAAGGAATAATTATGATAATTAATCAATCATTCATTTTTCACTCACATCTATTACTAATCTGATGATTCATACCCAATCTCTATTTGTCGCAATTGTGACATCTATATGAAGCTTTTATGCAACTGACTTAGGCTTAAGCTTACAGATTTATTCCAAACACTTTAAATGGTTGCTAATCAAAGAGTTAGAAAATCTTTAAAGAAATAATTTTCCAGTTTTCTTTGATATCACCGAATCTAATAGGTTACAGGTTAGATAGGTAGGTAGGACTTATCGCTTATAAGAGAATCTGTAGGAAAATGAAGTTCTCATATAATTTGTCTTATAATATTTGCATAATATTCTCAGAAAAAAATTTTTTTAACCGTTATGATTAGCAGACGAAAATTTGATGAAAATCGAAATACTTTCAGTATTGAACTACTTTCATCATTGCTGAATTCCGAACCACGTTATTATTCGGTTGGACATTGTAATCCATCATTACCGGTGAGCAGTGATAAATCGAACTGGTGTGATAGTGTGGAATTTCAAAACTTATCTAGATTATTTGGATCACATTCATCATCTCAACTACCATCGCCCTTTGAAGAAGACTGTCAACAATTGACTATCGGTCAATGCTCAAACGATAACACTCCAACGGTTAGCTTTGTCGTATCCTTTTTTTTTCTTAGTAGCATATAGATAATTTATTCAAGAATAAAATTCTTTGAAAAATTCACATAAAAATCTGGGAAAATATTTGTTAGATGTCCGGAAGTAATAGACATTTTCCGGAAGTAATAGACATTATATTATTCACCGGAAAGGATAACTTATTTCTGCAGATTTTGTTTTTGTTTTATTTTTTTTCTTCATTTCAGTAGTATCATTTCTTCAGTGGCGCAACTATTCCCATCCATTCGCCGCCTTTTCACTTTTCATCAAAAATCCTTTCTTCAGACCTTCCTGTACTTCGCCCTAACTTACTTATTATGGACTTTCTATTTTTCCCTTTCATTTGTTGAATTTTTTATAATATTTATTTTATCGCAACTGTCTATTTATTGCCTTTCTATCATTTCGTTTTCTTCTTGAAAGGAAAGAAAGATATTTCAATTTAGTATTGTAAATATCTTTCTTGGCTCTTTGGTTTTTTTTCAATTCTTCGTATCCTATGAACTTTTCAATCAAGAATTCAAATGAATCTATATCGATAGGCTTGATAACAAACAGGCATATTTATTCTATCGATACTTACTTTTTTTGGAAAGTAGACAACGTGGTAACATGATTTGTGAAATTGTTCCTGATTAGATCTCTCAGTGAGTTCCTTTCTTATCATTGCTTAATTTCTTAATATAAAGAGTAATAATTGAACGACTAAAGGATCTGGAAGATATATAGCACCTAAAATATTATGAAGTTTCCTGAAGAAAATCCATAATTTGCAATAGTTATTTACTGATGTGTCTCGTTATGATGCCTAACCTTTGTCGTGTTCCAATTAATCAGCCATAAAAATGTCCCCATAGTCGATCTGATCAGTTTTCCCAGACTAATTTACATTCAACAAATTGCTTCCTAAATCTAATATCTTATCCATTCACTAATTTCATCTGTTTACTTCTTTAGGCAATTTCTGAAATGTTTGTTGTTGTAAAACGGTCGCGGATTTCCCGCCTACCTGAAAAAAAGCACTAATTCCCATTATTTCCAATTATATCTAAAATATCTCACTTATCATAACCGCTATACCGCGTATTTATACAACGCTCTCTGTTTATTATAAGGAGGTTTTGGTCCATTTCCTTGCTTTCTTTACATATCTGTCTGTTTGTTCCTTTATCTTTCAAATTGAAATTATCTATCGCTTCATCGACTGGCAGACATTTTAAAGTATAAATTAAACAAAATTTAAATTCCATTTAACAAATGAAACTTTTCTCTAAAATTAATATTCCTATTTGTTGATTATTCAAAAATTTACAAATTATTTTGTTGTTGTGATTTTTTTTTTTAAAGATTTTGAACTTTCTTTAAGCATAATTTTAGTTCCTTCCAACGGTTAACGCTATTTCGCATCGTTTTATGTTAACGAATTTGTTGTGGTTTACTTTGCTTTGTTTACTTTCTATTTATTTCACTTCGTTCATTTACATTTACGCGTTTTATTTCATTCCCTTTTTACTCTTCTCACTAACAAATCTTCCTATCAAATTCAAATTGATCGCAATGTCGCAAACCTATGCCAAAGTCGTTATAGGCGTCGTAACGCATATTACGTTAAAATTGATAATTAATGATAAGAAAGAAAGTTATTGTTGAAATGTATGCTTAGAATGGAATCTTTAGAAAGAATGGAATCTATGCTTAGAATGGAACTTTTAAAAATTATTTTTCTTAACTTTCAAAGCAATAAGGTCAATCTAATCCCAATGGAATGTTAGCGAATCTAAAATTTGAAACTACATTTTTTCCTCGTCTTTTCATGTTTTTCTAATGTAAGGTCAAGGAAGGTTAACAGCTTATGCATCAGTTCACAAGTTCCTTCAGAATTCATCATCCATTTCCTATAAGAAGCGATTTTTTTAAAGTAATTTTATTTCATTATTTCATTTTCTGAATTCAAATTGTTCGCACACTGAGATTTATCCACAAATATTATCTTTTATTCGTAATTTCTGCTTCAAATTAACTAAATAACTTCTTCAAAATCATTTTTTCTCTCATTAAACTTGAAAATTTTTGTAGGCCAATAATTGACGAAGATTAGATATGTTATGGAATTGATAATTTAATAGAAAGATAAAGGAATTGCTCGGTTCTTCTAATTTTTAGAAGGTATGTTATCGTTAATTTTACCTTCACAGATGCATATTGTTCCCATTACTTTAGACAAGTTAGATTTTATCGCTTCTCATTTCTAGAGATTTCATTCTTGCTGTTCATTGAGCCTATCTGCTCATTACTTCTCTGTAGTGGTTGAAATTTTGACAGATTGTCATAAAACTTTTAATGAATTTTATCCTTATTAGTAAATCATTGGACGAAAACACTAATGTGAATGGAATTCGATTAATGCTATTCTCACTTGTCTTTTCGGTTTTTGGACAGATACCGCTATATATTTAATTAATTAGTGAGAGAATACTCAGTGAAGATTTGCTGAATAGGCGTTTTATGTTCCGTCAAAGCCGCTTGGTAATTAAAAAGAGGAGACTGATTTTTTGGAACATATGTGAGATAAATTATGCTTTTTGGAGTGCTACAGCTTAATTTGCTTATTTCATTATTGAATGGAATTGAGATTGAAGTCTAATTAATGCTGTAATTAAAGAGTCATTTGATTAAAAAAATCTTTTTTTGTCTTATCCATCACCACAAATAGATGAATATTGATGACTACCACTTTTTGATTAACATAATACAATCCTAAATTTATCAATAATAAATAAGCTCACTGATTGATACATACTCAATAGTTAATAATAAGATTATTCATAGATAAATGATTCTTCTCTATGCAACTTCCAAATTGAATAAACTAAACATAATTTAATGAGTGGTTGCTAATTGGCTTAAACTGTAATGACAGCAGGAGAGAACGAATAAATTAGTGAAAGCCAATAAATTAATTTGCAACTTTTCATGTAAAAATAGAAAAATAGGGCTGTTATTATTAAGAAAAATGAAGCCAAATAGAGTATGAATTATTGTATGAAATTATAGAAAGAAAACTTTTTCAATGTGATAAAATTTAATTCGATTTCATTTTATTGGATAATTAGTATCGGATCGTATCGTATGATAATCCTAATTAAGAAGAAATTAATATTAGAAAAAAAAGAAGCAAAATTTGAAGTTTCTTTTAATTTATAGTGAGAGAGGGAAATTTGTATGAAAGAAATTCATTTGAAAGGAACTGAATAGTTGAAAGAAAAGAATGGACGAAGAATTGTTTACACATCGATAGGCCTATGAAATGGGCGCATTAGGAACAGTTAATTAAACAGAGGAAAAAGAAACTTATAAATACTCTTCGAATGATTCTTTAATTTTTTAATGGAAACATGAAACTTTTTTTTAGACTCTATGAAAATGTTCAGTGTATTAGATGAGAAATGAATTTGAATATATGATATGTTTTGTGTGTTGGAATTTAGTGAATGGTAAAGCAAAGAGTGGTAGCAAAGGCGTATATGTATATAAGAACAGATATCCGTTCTTCTAGGTTTTTTCAATTCAATGCATTAAATTAATAAGCTTTTATCTCTGTCATTTAGAGTTTTAAGAATGATTATCGATTTAGGATTGTAGTTGTTGAAAAACTTTGTATAACTGCTGTAATCGATTTTATCGATTTTAAAATTTTCTGAATTATGAAAATTAAATTTTTTTTTTAAAATTATAAAGCAATTGTATAGATTCTCGTATGTATCGTAACAACACGGTAAAAAGAAAGAGAGAATGATCAATCTCAAATACTGTCAAAGTGGCGAATTAAAAAATAGTTTATTTTGTTAGGAGCGATTATCAATCAAAATACAGAAGTGTAAATAAATTACCTGTTGAAATAGAAAGATTCTATTCTTTTAACTTTATTGCCGATTTTTTTGCCAGAATTACAAAAATTAGGAAATTTGAATAATTCATCAATGATCTGTTTTGTATTAGATTAGATATAATAGCACTAATTACATTAATTTTTATTTCATTCATTTCATTATTTAATTCATTTCATATACAATTTAAATTAGCATATAATTTTATTTTATTCTTTTTCGATTATTCGAAGTTTTACCTATCGTTCATACCTTTTATGTCTAAAAATTTCATTAGAAAAAAATACAACTCTTTTCTATTTCTTTCAAATAGAAATGTCGTTAATTAGTCATCCATCAATATCGAAAGTCTCAATTTCCAGTATAGCTCAAACCCGCCTGCGCAATTCATTCATTAATCATTTAAACCGATCTGCTGTTCATTCTCTCATTTTATTTATATAATTTTTCCGAAATGCTGCAAAATTTGCCGCATAGAAGTACTACCTATTATTACGAAATTCCTTTATACTATAAAATACTATGAAATTGATTTTATTATATTCTTAGAACAGCTTGAGTGCATATAATCATATATTCATTTATCATTACTCTCCCTGATAATATCTATTGTTGCCATATGTCATTTATTTTCCAGTTATATAATTTAATCATGATTTACTCTTATAAAATTTCACTAAAGAAATTATTAGTTAGTTTTAACATTCTATGATAAACCAGAAATTACCAATTTACCAAGAGCTATATTAATTAATGTTAATTAATGAGCACTTGATATATCTCATACTTTAGAAGGTTTCTTTTATCTTTATCGTTTCACAGTTTATGATTCCTCTGTAATCAGCGATATCTGTGTTTATAAAATGAATTCTTTTTTTGCTGCAATAAGTTATTAATGTAAAGAATAATTTGATGGGAAATGATGAATTCATTTCCTTCACAAACTATCGTATCACTGTGTCCTTCAAATAATATTTTATAATATCTGTAAAATGCTACTAAATTATATCGATCAGGTAAGTATCAATAATTGACGCCTATTAATGTAGTAATTTTAATTTAAAGAATTGAAATTCACTTCCATCAAAGCAAATATAACATTCAATGCAATCAAAAAAATAACAATGTAAATTTTTATTTAAAGCCGATAGTTTGATGAAAGGATAAAGTTCAATTCTGATATGCAATAATCAAATTCCAATTATTTAAAAATTATTTATGACTTTTATTTTCTTTCTAATCATTTTTAATTGACTTATTTAATGAATTAAAATCATCTAAAAAAATTTTAATTTCGAAACATCAATCATCAATGCTCTTCCAACTTCAAATTTAAGAAATTAAAAAAACGTTTTTACGAAACGGAACCAATTGATTATCCATTTCTTATCAACGAGTAATGATTGTATTGGATGATAATCCGAACTATTGGATGACAATCCGTAAATGGAGAATTTTTTGGAAGGAGATAAAGATTTGAAGTAAAAATATGTAAAAGATTGATGTAGAAGATTTCCATCTACCACCTTTTCCCCACATTCTCACCTTATGCGATTACAATACAATACGAAGGCTCAAAATTAATTAGAGTACGGAGAATTAAAATTGTATTATTTTTGTTGTATGTGTCACTGTGTATATGGCATCTAATTAAATCAATGTTTAATGACCATTTTAAGAAGAGAAAAATAAAAGATGAATTAGAGAGAGAGAGAGGGAGGGAGGGAGGGAGGGAGAAGATAAAAATTATTCTCTTCAATTACTGTCCACTTTTCATGTCCTAATGCAAAAGAGAAGTAAATGAAGTTAGTATCTTTGCTCAATTCAACATTTGTGAGATTTAATATTTTTATTTCATTTAGCTGAAGTAAGATAGAAAAAGAAAATTGTAATCCTGTTGTTTCTGAATTCTTAAGATTTAATGTATGAACTATGAACTATGAACTAGATATTATTATGAAATAATTATTTCAAATTATCACAACTATTCTATGCCATACCTTCTTTTAATTAGTTTTATTCATTTTTGAAATAATTATTTTTTTTAGGATATGTATGATTTCTTTTCAATTCTATTCCTTTCCAAACAAACTTTATTCTTTCTCATTCTCAAACGATTTAAACTTTTTTGGGTTTATTCCTTCACTTCATATAACTTTTCCTTCCAATATCTATACGAACCATTTTTCAATTGGTTGTACATTTGAAAAATGACAGCAAACAATGAATGGAAGAAGGGATGGATATCAGTCAGTATATGACGAATCAATTACTTTTTCCTTCTTGACCCTCACGGCCAATTTTCCGCTTCCGATTAATGAACTCTTCATCACCGTAAATCACTGAGATAAATGATAGATAGAACTCAAATAAATTAATTAATTATTTAGCATGCGCGATTTAACTTGATAAAATAGATTTCTTCTTAAAGATTTTTTTCCTTAAAATTCTCTTGAAGTTCAAAGGTTAACTACATGTTTTTCATCCATTACAAATTCATTCTTATTTTTGCAAAATTGAACTAAGATAATTATAGGTGTATTTTTCGTATAAGAAAAGGACATTCAAAAAGCCTTCAGTGACTGTCACATTGTCTCTTCAATCTTTCATTGAAATATTAAGTGTGAAATGAGCGGTGAAGCGCAAAATAATTAACTTTGAAAGGCGAGTTTTTCTTTTCTCTCCCACAAAATACATTCCTTTACAATCATCCGATTTCCTTTTATGGGATCATTCAGTTATGCCACTTCGCTACAATGCGACAATGACGACAACTGTTAGTAAAAATAGTATAAGTCATTTTATGCTGCAAGTAATCGCAACTATCCGAGTGTGTAAAATTTTATTAATTCGAACCTCATATGAATATAATGAAACTATCAGACATTGTCGATATTACACATATCTCTCATATTTTATTTTGATCAGCTAATAATTTTTGATATGTAATTTAGCTGTAAAATTCTTTCTTTTATTGAGCAATTAATTAATTGCTAATAATGAATTTAGCAAACATTAAATTTGGTTCATTTAGTTTAATGATCGACTACATCTCTTTTCTTGTGCTTCCTCTTAATCTGTCTAAGATGAAATACTTGATATTTATGCGAAAATAATTGGGCAGTTTAAAGATCTATAAATTTAAGGAGAGTTTAAAATCTTTTGATTTCATTAATTCTTTATCCTAAAAATCCTTTCGATCAATGCAATTAGCTGTCATTTTTCATTGATAACTCTCTTAGCTAAAAGTTAATTTAGCTCGATTTCATTTCTAATTCTCTCTTACCATTCCGTAAATTTATCATGTTAGGGTGAAAATAATTCTTAATGAATTATAAGAACTAACTTTTCCATTAATTTCATCGAAATCGAAATTTCATAGGATTTCGTATTTTTCTTTTTCTCTTGGCAGATAACATTGTATTATAAATTTTAATTTTCTTCTGAAAATTTCATCATAATGATTCATCTAAAAAATATCTCTTATAAAATCATTGGAAAGTATAAAGCACCAAATGATGAATGTTTACTGAAAAATTGAAAAGAATTTAGATGAAGATTTATTTGTAAAGGACAAAAAGAATATTATTCTTTACTATATTTGCATAACGACGGCTGTCCGTTAAATTTCTAATCAAAATAGTAAAAAAAATTTAATAAATTATTGAATTGAAGACAATGGATAGTCCCTGAATTATGCAAAATGCTAGATGGGTCTGTTAGTGCGCGTGGTATGTATGGTGATGGTAGTTAGTCTTCTTGGAGCTAATCTTCAAATCGACATTTGTCACCCTTTCATTTTCGAGGTGAGCATAGTAAGTAATTAGACACTGAGTCAGCTGTTACCTACATAGTAGACTGGAAGTATCTATCGGCTATACTTTTGAAGAATAAGACAAGTGGATAGTATCGGAGAGATAATAGCATAAGAAATTACTGACTGGTAATAGTCTTCAAAAGTTTTTGCTACAACACTTTTCTGCATCGCTCCGTTCGTATGCGCATTTGTTTATCAAATCGACTAATTTTAAATTATACACACAATTAATGAGCACAAATATTGCTTTATTTGTTACCTTTCATAACTACTATTTTCGTCAAGAAGAAGAAAAACTCATAATAAACCAGTTTAATTCCGTATCATATTATTCCTTTCTGTTTTCTAAAAAAAAAGAAATCAAGAAAGGTTTATTCAAATTTAACCGATACAATTTGTATAATATTGTTATAGAATGTGAAGTAAAGTTGAAATTACATTTAAAAATATGAAATGATAAAATGGAAAATAGAATAATAGAAGAGAGTAGAAAAAACGGAAAAGGAAAAATAGAACAGAATGAAATGGTAATAGGGAAAAAGTCAAAGGAAGATGAAATAGGAAGGAATTCATAAATCAAAAATCGAACTTTTCATTGTCGCATTTTATTTTTCAAGCAGCGACGATGCCTTTCAACTTTTATCATATCTTTTCTCTTTTATGTAATAACTAAAAAAGGTAAACAAATTCCCTTGAAATGGATCTATTTAATTTATAATACATATTTTAGGAATAAATAAGTAAATAGTGGAATAATTCAGATGGCAAAATTTTTGAAAGGTCACAATGCCATTCAATTCAATTATAAATGTATTATTGTATTAAAAAATTTTTTGAAAGAGTTCATATACGTATATTATTGATGCGACAATTAAAATATTATGATGCGATAATTTTTTCCTCTTTTTCAAATTAATCATAACTTAACAAATAGATGGATTAAATGATTTGCGATATGAGATTGTAGAATATTTTATAAATCCAAAAATCTTAAGTTAGATTTATTATGACTATTATTTTGATTATTGTAGTGTGGTTTAGAATTGCAATTGAGAATCATTGTTGCGTGTTATAAATCGCCCATGAATTTATTTTATCAAAGCTGTCCAAATGTTTTTTTATTGAAGAAATTATTTCATTCAAAAAGTTTAAATTTAAAGAATAATTTTTTAATTTTAAACAAATTTTCTATCTCTGTTATCTTTTTATTACGTTATCATTGCCATAAATTAGTAGTAGAAGTTTATTTCGTTTTCTTTTTTTCAGATGGGAAATCCAGGATTTGGGAATATTAAAGAGTCAGGAGAAGAAATAGGTCAATTAGCAGAAAAAGGAAAAGGAAGAGGAAGAGAAGTGTTACCTCAACCACAACAATCACAGGGTTCCTTAGCAGGAACAGGAGCAGCAGCAGTACCACAACAGATCATCGGGTCATCATCATCAACATCTTCAATAAAATCATCAACAACATCAACTACGATTCAACAGCGAGTAGCAGAAGGAGGAGGTGGAGCTCGAGGTGCGATACGGGTACGCCAACGCCCTCAAATACCACCGAAACCGCAGATGGACACCGTCAGATACAGCATGGCCAATGTACAAGGTCAGTTTTTTCATTCTTCTCTCTCTCCTTCTCTCTCTGTATATATATATATATATGTGTGTGTGGTGTACATTAAAGTTTGTATGACTATAGTGAACGGGAAGGAAGAAAAGATGAATAACATAAAATGAGGGACGATTTCCTGAATGAAATATTTAATTAAAACCACTGAAATGTTGTATACTTATTAATTAGAACCACTGAAATATTGTTTACCAGTTGGAGTCACCCCGCTGCTTTTATTTTCTATTCAAACTTGCATGTCGTAATTTATTTCCTTCATCTTTAACAATAATTCATAAAATGTTGAGTGTATAAAAAAATAAGAAGAGAAAAGTTAAAATGTAAAAATGAAAATTAAAAACAATTAATGTAAACTATCATGTAAACTATATATTGATTGATTACCTTTTTATAATATAATTTTTGCAAAGTTATTATGTCTCAATGAATTCAGAAAGTTTAGTTATTGGCATAAAAATTATGAATTCAGTTTTAATTTCCAATTTCCTATTTAAATTTCCTATTTAAAGCATAAATATCACACTAAAATGATTTCGTATCATTAATAAACAACATATATATAATAATTAGGATGTTATGTTATATTGTAATTTTTACACAGATCTCATAATTAAGAATGATTCTTCTAATTTTTAATCATCCCAGAAATCCCGAATTAATTCAATTGAAGAGATCCACTCTCATGTATACATTCATTTGTAATTTATACTTTATTGACTTTTCCAATATTATTATAATTCACATTTAAATTGGATCTCTTTTAGGATTTGTAATTACTGGTCACTTTTCGCTTCCTTAATTTTATCCATAATTTTGTCTTTTTCCATTGAACTTTACCTTTTTGTGAATTGGATAGGATATTAGAAATCGTTTGACAAAAGAATTCGCATTCTTTCGCTATCGTTGTAAAAAACTTTTACTTCAATTACCTTTCTTATTTCTATTTTAAATGACATAATCTTTGAGTTCTGAATTAAAGAGCTATTTGAGAAAGGTATTAATATTTCCTCACAGAGCTGATAATTTCACTTTTCGAAAAGTATGCGCAAATGTGATTGCTAATCAGTCGTAAACTATTGAATACCGAAATCACATTTAAGTTTGATGAAGTTGCTGATCAATTAATAGCATTAGGAAGAGCAAGGAAGGTTCAATGATCAGTACTCTAAACAATTGAAAAGATCAAATAATAATTACGCCTGATCTGCTTGCAATATTATGTTCAAAAAAACGCTTAGTGGTATGCAAAGTTTTCTTAATTTTCTTATAATGATAACTTCTTAGAAAATTTTGCTAAATTTCAAATGAAACTGAAATAAAAAAATGCCTTAGGAAAAAAAGTTTCAGAAAGTTGTGATTGGGAGTTGGATACTTTGTTGGGTGAGCTGTCAGCTCTCGAACAACAACTTACTATTGGTGGTGATCAGGCGCTTCTTGGCCTACCAACTCTTCCAACTTCTGCTTCACGTGAAAGCAGTCTAAATCAAAGCAAACGAAATAGTATTCCTTCCGCTTCTGTTATACAACAAACTGACGTGAAAAGGTTAGTTAAGCTTTAATCATTAATTTTTTTCCTCCTAATTATCTATTTCTTTTTTCAATCATTTATTAAAATAATAAAGATAATTTAAATAATATTATCATCCAATCAAATCTTTTAATTGGTAAGGAAATTAAGAAAAGAGGGCTAATTAAAAAATGTTCGATAAAAATTCCTTTGAACTATAAATTGATTTCATCTCTTAATGCTTTGATAAAATATTCTCTCAATCTTTAAATTTACAATATCTTACAGCATTTGATTGGATGATTCATTGGTTGTAATATTGATAGTGACGATTGCGCAAAAATTAGCAGCAAATGGTTTTTTCCTATTGGTTAGGGTAGAAGGATTGACTATTCAAAGCTCTGCAAATTAATTATTCAGCTAAAATCTAAAATCCATTTATTAGTGTACTTTAGGCTTCTATTATTCTTATTGATCAAATTTGTTACAAATTGGATTTACAACAATTTCTCTTCTGTAATTAAACTATAAGGGACTGTTAATAAAATGATCTTATTATTCTTTAATATAAAATTGAATGAAAATCTTTTAATTTCAACGGTAGAATTTCTGTTTATGTTAAATTATACTATTTCAGAAAGATATCTTCTCATTTTATCATCAATTTTATCTTAAACATAATTAGCCTGTTAATTTTTCACCTCTTCTTGCTATCTTTTACTCATTAATTAAATTTGATTATTCTGAATAGCCTTAATAATGTGATAGAGATGAATAGCCCTAATAATGTGATAGAATAAGTGGAGCTAAAAATTGCTAATAACTAGTAATAAGGCTTAGGCTTTGAATAGTTCCTGTTTGTGCAGCTGCAATAATTTCAGCGCATTTCAACTTTTCGGACACCTAAATAAAATATATGTATATTTTAAATTATATTTTTGCCGAAAAATATATTGTTGTTTCTTTTAAAAAAAGATATTTTTATTTTTATTTTTATAATATTTCTACTCCTTAAAAACGATTGTTGAAACAAAAAGAAAGAATGTAGAAATTTATCATAGAAGGAAAATAATTAAAGAGAGAAGGTATATAACTGTTTGCCAACTTCGCTAAATTGACATATAAACCTCTCATTCCAATAAATAAATTGATATTCAACAACAATAAGGCTTTCATGTTAATTTTAGTATTAAAATACAAAATTTAAAATTTTAAAAGATAAAATTTCAAATGAACAGTGAAGAATTAAATAAATATTACCATATATTAAAATATCTAAAGAAATATTACAAATATTTTTAGTTAAAAAATGCATAGCAATAGCGATCATCTATCTTTACATCTTACTTTTTCTTATCTAACAGTTAGGGATCTTCAGGACTTTCTTTTCATTCAATTCATATCTTTGATATGAATTACCTGTAAAATTCTTTTTGTCAGTCCATGACTTTGATCGACCGTTTAGTTTGATTTATGGATCGATTAATCTATATTCCTTTTCTGTATTACAGGGCTGGTCTTCAATCTCATGCTCAACATTCGTACTCTTACAACGATAACTTCACACAAGGCTCAGGTACTACTGGTGCTACAATGTCGACAGATTGTCCAAGCCCTGATCGTGATTCTGCTTTTGGTGATTCCTCTAGTACAGAATCTCGAAACAACAATCGAAATTGTAGAAACTCGGCTATCTCATATTCCGATAGTTGTCGAGGCTCACTTAATACGCCAAGTCCAATTCAACAGGTTCAATTATTTGCCTGTTTTTTTTTGATTTTATTTCGTTCAGTTGTTGATTTCTTCGTTTTCTTTCCTTTCTTTTCTATTATTTGTCTATCGCTGATGAAAATACGATTGAAATGTCGAAAGATGAATTGTAAAGATGAAATTGGAATTGAAGTTCGGGCAGCGTCTTAAAAGGAAATGTGCCTTTATTTTTAACAAAAAAGATCGAACCAGTATTCTTCAACCATCCTAATTCATACATTTTTTTTTTGTTATTGATTTAATTTTAAATTAGGAATTGTAGTGGAAAATGACAACTTTCAATTTTTGAAAACGTGCAGTATTTCATAGCAATTTCCATAATTCTTCCTCTTTTCTCCATCTCTCTCTCTCTTTCTCTCTCTCCTAAGAATGTGTTTATGGGATTTTTAGATACGGAAATAGTAATTTTACCATGGAAAACTAATAAAGCACGAATGTAAAAGGACCTACCTTCAACTAATGAAATTGTAGCATTTTTTTTACAAATATAAAAAAATGGGATAGTCGTTGTTGTGATATGTTGCATATTTTGTTATGATATCCGCCTCCAGTAGAGAGCAATTATCGATATGTTTGATGTGAATATGGGACTGTTATTATATTATCTTCTAATCTGAATATTGTCGTATCCGAAGAATTCTAATGACATTCCCAATTTTGTTTTCCTAACTTCACATATCAGATTTTAGATTTAGATTTAGATTTTTATTTTTTTTTAAATAATTTTCTTCATATTCTCTGAATTCGAATATCTCTTCATATATAGCTTCCTTAATTTGATCTGTTTTCTGGAATAAATTCGTAGATTAAAATTGATTTAAAATTTCGTATAAGCCTAATATAAGTACATTTAAAACTTGCTGCTTTCCACTACTTCAATTCAATATAAATTCAATCAACAAATAGAAAAGAATAATCTGATAATAATGACATCATCACTAACTTGTCGAATATTTAATTGTTTAATGCAAAAATATATCATAACGTAACAACAAAAAAAGGATATAATATATTAAAAGCACTTAAAATGAGATAATTATTTTAAAACGTAGTAAATAAATCAACTTATGCAAATTTTTCTTATATCTCAATAACTGGAAGGGAAGGTGTTGTAATTTCCGATTGTGAATAAAACGGAGGAAGGAAGGAAGGAAGAAAGGAAAGACGGAAGAATGAATGAATGAATGAATAAATGAATGAATGAATCATTGATACTCATTTTCAACTGTACAAAACCCAATCCGTTCAAACTATTCTCAGTATCTATTCGATCGTCGCTTCTCACAAAGAATGAAAAAAAAGGAAATTTTCCTCTTTCAACACTCTTTTAATCGTTTTAACAACAAATTCTAAAAGTTTCTTGCATAAGAAAGTACGTGCATTTTCTTTTCTGTTATCCATTCTTTAGTTGTTATCATTTTAAGATTTCATTAATTTTTATCAATTCATATTCAATGAATTTTAATCACTTATCAATTACATATATATGTATGGCTTAAATTACATTATAAAATTCTTCAATAAACATTTTTGCTTTTTTTTCAAAAAAGATGATATTTAATTCTTTCTGTTGCAAAAAAAATTTCATCAAATATTTTCGTATTTTCCTACAATTTCCGAATTTGTATAGCAGAAGAGAAAAATCAAAAAAAAAGAACTGATGGAACAGAAAAGGAAATGTTTGAACTGTGTGATTTTTACAACTTCGATGATTCACAATAATACTTAGTCGTATACGGAAGGAAGGTAAAGCCGATCGGAACGGAGAACAGACAGATATTTATATAAAATTTGATTTTTCATTCTTTTTTTCTGATCCACAATACACACACACACACACACACACACACACACACACACACACACACACACACACACATACACACACATAAACATTTTACATAACCCATTTTATCGGTTATTAGCACTACCATCTGCAATAGCCGAAAACTTCCTACCCTGTGATTGAACGATGTAACACAGATATTTTGTTATATCCCATATCAATCTTTATGGTATGTTAATATATTTCCATTCATGTAAATTGGTATTCTAATTAAAATACGATCTTATTAAAATACGATGATTTTTTGTAGAAAATTTCAAAAAATAGAGAATTTCAAAAAAATTTCAAAAAATGTGAACTAGAGTGAATGTTGTTGTTTGTTTAGCTATTAATGGCCAATAATTAAATATGCCATTTTTAAGATTAAAATTTTCTTTTCCAGCTTATCTAAATTTTATGACTTGGTCTATTTTTCCAGCATTCATTTCCTTTCCATTCTATCTGATCCATCTTTAACCTTAATTATTGGACTATTTCAAGAACGGATAAGGCATTTTAAATGTTAATAGATGATGATTAAATGATAAGTTATATACACATACACATACACATACACACACACACACACACACACACACACACATTGCTGTTAATTAGATTTCATCATCTAAAGGGGCGATCTTTTTGTAGTTTGATCAACAAATAGCGCACAATCGATAAAGGATATTTATTTGTGAGACTAATCAGAGTTTTTCAAGGCCATACTTTTTTAGATTATTGAAATTAATTACAATATTAAAAAAAGATTGAGAAATTTATGGAAATGATTCTAATCCTTCCTGGCAAATAGCTTATATCTTATATAACTTCTTTTTTTCTTTAAGGGAATCGTAACCTTTTTTATTGATCAAATTAGTTGCAATTCGATTTTATTGATCAAATTGCTTGTAATAAAAGCAATTTGATCCTTCCGACAATTAATTTACTTGTACTATTAAGGAAGAGACACAATATAGATTGGCTAAATCGTCATGAACCTATATTGTGTCTCATCTTTGATTCAATACTTTCCATAATTGGAACTACTTCCTTATTTCCTGAGAACGGATCACTTTCCTACAATCACAAGTTTAATTGAGAATAAATAAATAAATAGTAGATTGATTTAAATTGAAAACAGATAATCAACTGAACTGATTGTTTATTCTGATCTTTATTACCTAATAAATAAATTAAAATATGCAATCAAATCAAACAAATTCTTCAATCATTATTTGCTTCTTATTTTTTTTAATGAAAGGATGTTATTTTTACTTTAATTTATTTATTGAAATTCCTTTGAGATGACATTTACATCAAGGTTTCTTTTAAACTTTAGCATATATGGTGATATTATAATTATTTCGAAAGCAGAACTTTTTTTGTTTCAGTTGATTATTGCTTATTCATTAATTACCTTATCTTCTCAATTGTATCATAAAGATAGTTTCAGGCTTCTCCAAATCAGTCGTCAACCTCTTCGACTTTAGAATCCTCTCAACTTCGTCACCATCATCAACAACAGCAGCAGCAGCAGCAACAACAACAACAGCAACAACCTCCTCGACCACTTACTGCTAATGAGATAAAAGCGGCAAGAATTCGAGAAGCGCTGGAGAAAATGCGTGAAGCAGATATTAAAAAAATATACGTGAAATTTTTCATCGACGATGGATCGTCGACTATTTCTTTACTTATCGACGAAAGATGGACGGTTGCTGAATGTATCCGTCGAATCGCAATGAAATTGAGTGTGCCGCTGAGCGAACATCATGCTATCGTTGAGGAATATCCCGATCTTTATATCAGTAACATTTTCTATCATTCTTTTTTCCTCCTTAAAATGCGAACAAGCATATATTAATTGAAATGTTAAGATAGAATAATTTAACATTAAATGTAGTGGATTATAAGGATATGAATTTAAATTGAATTTAATTTTTGAAGCAAGTTAAATTATTTCAAAAATCATTTGTTTTATTTACTGATTACTTTGATGCTTTTAAACAATGTACATGAAAAGTAAACAAATTAATGGTTTGTTTATTTTTTACTTGCATTCCTTGTATTGCCACTATTTCGAAGTTATAGTATTAATATTATTTCAGAGAGGATCTATGAGGATCATGAGTATTTGGTGGAAAATATTATGATGTGGACATTGAATTCTCAGAATAAATTATATTTCACTCGACGCTTGGATAAATATTCGTTTCTGGATCGACCGGAAGAGTTCCTGGTAACTCAGAAAAATATTGATACATTGATGCATGGTCCACCATCACCGAACACAAAACGACATGTTATTAGGGTATGTTTCTTATTGTTTTAAGCACAGAGTACTTCATTTGGGAAGAAAGCAAATTATCAGAAGATAAAATAAGTTGAGAAGTGACTTTTTCGCACATTATAATAATTGAAAATATGCAAAGATCATAAAACAAATTCGAATGCAGATAGAAATCTCACCTACACGTTTAGAGTGATAATGAGTAGGATATAAACACTTTAAAAATGATATTTTTTATATCTGACAGCAATTGACTGCCCGTCTCGGAATAATCTGTGAAGGATATACTGCAACCAATTGATATTAATGATACTTTGACAGCGGTGCAATATTACTCACTAGTTCTTTAAAAAAATTTTATTTTGAAACTTAAAAAAATTAAATGATAGGTAATTTATTTATATATTTAATGATTTTGTTGACAAGTATTATAGCCAAGATTGATTACAGTATATTTAATATTTTAGGAGTTTTTTGATGGAGATAATGTACAACCACCGGAAAAAGAAGGTTGGTTATTTCTAAAATCAGATGGTAAGAAATCATGGAAGAAATATTTCTTCGTACTTCGTTTATCGGGTCTCTATTATTGTCCAAAAGGTAAAAGTCGTAATTCGAAGGATTTGCAATGTTTAATGAATATGCAAACTAATCAAGTTTATACGGCTATCGATTGGAAGAAGAAATATAAAGCACCATCCAATTATGGTTTCGCAATCAAAGTATGCCAGTATTAAAATTATTTCTTGCCTTTTAGAATTTGCAAATTTTAATTTGATTGTATCAAAGAAATATGAAATTTTTATTTATCTAAAGACTGAATTGAAAATAATGGTATGTATAAGTTAAATGAATTTTTGATTTATTGTAATAAACGTTTTAACTGATTGTTTTAGGTTTCAGTTTATTTATTTAATTAAATTTCTTATATTCAGTTTTTCCCTTTCATCATAAACAAACTTTTATCACAATGAGATATTTTTGGTGTAATTATTAATTCTTCAAAAAAGAAAAAAGTTTGATTCTTACTGCTTAGAAGACTTTTTGTCTCACAAAATTAATTCGCTTGAATTTACTATCACCATATTTGTTGGTATCAATAGTCTTAGCAATTCTCTATAATTTTAGCATCCAAAAATTCAAGTGAAAGCATCAAAATACATCAAATATGTCTGTACCGAAGATGCGTTAACGTTTCACAAATGGATGGTAGCTTTGAGGATTGCAAAGGTTACTTATCATCTCTTACTATCCACCTTCTAGCCATTTTTATCTTCTTTTCATTTTATTTGAACGTCCTAGACTTTTTTTAATTTCTATTGTATCAAAAAAATGAGTAACAAAGTTTATCAATAGAAGTGAGAAATAATATTGAGTTCACAGGTGAATTTATTGCATTCCGGATATTATCTTAACATCAATTTCTTTTCGATCCATGAAATTATCATTCTAGAATGGTCAAAATTTATACGAGAATTACATAGAGATGAAGAAGCAACAACAACAAACAGAATCGAATGCAGTAATTCAACCTGTAAAAGTTGGCATTCCACAAATTTCACTTGTTGATTCCAACCGTGTATCATTCGTTGAAATGCGAAAATCCAACATACAGCAATGTCAGCAACAAGATCCATCGCCTCTACTAAATTTGAATCATGATTTACGAACTCCCATCTCTTCCAGATTATCAACTGGAATCAGTAATGATGGAAATTCTTCACCTCGTCAAAATAGTATCATTTTTGATCAGGTATATTACTTTCAGATATCCCTAGTACTGCTAATTTTATTTATCATTTTAGAATCAAATCTATTTCATCCTAAAATGCAAACCATTTTCAGTGTGATGATATCATAACGGGTACCATAAAACGAGCACCATGCGATATAATGCTCGGTAGTAGACAATCAACGATGAATGATTATCGAGGTTCTAGTGATGGTATTGCTTCACCGAGCGGTCGTAGTGGTGGTACCGCCGAAAGTGATAGTGATGAGGAGCAATTCCCGCCACCTCCACCGATTGTAGTTGCTACCATTTCTCACGGGGAGGATTCTCGTGGTAATAAGTGTTTGGAATTTGAGATTTTTTGTTAATATGTATCCCATAATTTGGCGTACAAAGATTTGATCTGTATGATGCAACGATAATAATTTTCTGGAACTTTCTTCCGTCTAGCATATCGAATTACATTCTGAGCGATCATTCCCTTACACTAAAATAGACTGCAAGAAAAATTTTTATTTATTAGAAATTTTTAATTGTTAGAAATATATCAGAAAGTTCTATATTACTCTCTACATAATTTAATTTTTAGCATTTTTTTAGATGTATATAGTAATCAAGACGATACTCCTCCGGTAGTGGTACCATCTTCAAAAACTACCTTTTCTCAACAGCAACAGCCAAGTACCAATCATATGGCTATAACGCGATACCATAATGGAATTTCATCAGCTCATGCTAACAACAATGGTAACTATGTACCAAACATGAAACCTATTATGGCACCAGTACCACCAACAAAACCACAATTTGTGATAAAAAATGGACGAAATAGCAATCAAATGATTTGCACTGAAGTATTCTTATTACTTTCATTCTTTTTATTAATTAGAATTAAATTAAAATTTAAAAAATTTTATTAAGGAAAATATGCTTTTGTTCTATCTTTCTTTTCTACAACTTAATTCACTGAAGAAAAAAGTTCTCATTTAATATCAGAAATATATAACTTGTAGTATTAGCTGTTTTCATCACAATTGTTTCAAATTTACAGAACGGTATAACAACGGGTAATAATCATCATCAATTGGGAACATTTCCTTCTCAAACATCATTAACATCACTACCCAAGAAGATACCACCACCACCACCACCAAAACGCTCAGATGCTACTAAACTTCAATCGGTACTTTATTTTTTATCATCATTTTGAGCAATTTATTATAATTTAAATGATGAGAAAATAAAATGTAAGAATGATCCATTCAAATTGTTTACTACCTGAAATTGTGGCACAAAATTGAATGGTACCTCGAAATATATTTTAAAAATATCCGAAATTTTGAATTATATATATATTAACAAAGTATTTGTAGGCCTTTTCTTTGGATTAAAATTTCCTGTTGAATACTCAGTAGGAAATTTTACTTATCCATGAACGAAATTAATTTTTCAGACGAATGCTGAAGCTTTACATTCAGAATTGGAAATAGCAATGGCAAGGAGATTGCAAAAAATTGGACAACTTTAAATTAATTATCCAATCTTCTTCAACATTCTTCAACATTGTGGTTAATTAAATGTTTCCAAATTCATTTTATTTATATTTTCACGCACCACAAACTGTGGTACTGATAGTTTCATGTGCATGTTATTTGTGTTATCATATCTGATTTATCATTTTTACTTTTCTTCTTTTGCACATAGAACATACTTGTTAAAATTGAGGAAAAATTATTCCTTTATTTTTTCTTTTCTTAATTTCTTCATTCTTTTTTGTGAGGAACAGATTAATTAGCAATGGAAGATTAGCGATCGGTAAACATCTTTATTTACTATTTGTAAATAATAAAATGTCAGCGTATCTTTTTATAATTTACAGCTATCATTTAAAATTTAATTTGGAGTTGTTAAAATAAAAATAGTTGAGAAAATAATTAGAGCTATAAAACTTTTTATTTTTAAAGTTTCTCAAATAAATAAGATATCAGTTTTTTCTTTATCAGTTTTATAGAGGAATAATTTTTTTGTTTTCATTTGTTATGTTAATATGCTCATTTTTATAAAATTTTCCCATATTAAACAGTATTCTTGTCAGTTATCAATTATCATTCTTATGATGTTCTTTATCAATTCCCATATGAGAGTGAACATTTCGTAAAAATGATGTTCGCAAATAAAAATGGAAGTATAATAATTTTATGGCGGAATTTCATCATTCTTCAAATATCTTGAAATAGTAAAGACACCATGCTGAATATCCTTATCAGTAAAGTATGCTGTAAAGGTAGTTTTTCTAGAATTACCGGTGTCTTTATTTTTTCATACTTCTTTACTTGCTCGTTTGTATATATGCAACCATAACTTTCAATATTGTTCTATTTTAAACTAAAATCATATTCTAATTTTTTTGAGGCATTTCTTGTTATGTTGAATTAAAATTTCACTAGTCTATTCTAATCCTGAAATTAACCGTAAAGAATGATCAAATGAATATTTCTGAAAGTTTAAATATCCTCTATTTTTTTCAAGATATATTAAATTTTTCTATTTTGGAATATGATTTTAGTTTAAAATCATATTCCAAAATAGAAAAATATTGATTTATTATTATTTCCATCATCAAAATCATCGTGTATCAATTTTTTTCACTGAACTGAATAAAATAAGTACTATAACGGTTAAAGGTTATTATTGTGTTATTGAATGAAAAACTTCAAAGCTACGACTATTTAATGCAATGTAATCTTTAATAATGGAATAATTGCAACCAACCACCTTATGTTATTGCTGATGTAAAATATTGCGCGAGGGTTGGAAAATTTCGGTACCATTCAGACTGTGGAATCTGATATTTTTCATCAAACTGGTATTTCGAGGAAAAGCGAACGAGAAGGATGCAAATCTTTAATCAATGAACCATTTAGCACAAATGTTTATTACCGATAAACTTTTTGATGCAAAAACAGCACGTGGAAATGTTGTGATACTAATTGAGGAGCAAATTTAAATAGGCTATTTGTCAATTAAAAAACAGAAAATGATAAATTTTGTAGGAATGGCAATTCGTGCCATATAATGAGGCAAAAGAAAGAAGGATGATGTTCGAAACTTTATAAGAAAGTTCACATGCGAACAATTAATTAGAAATTACAATATGGAATGAAAATGGGAAAGGTTGAAAAGAAATAGTATATTATTACTTCTATATAAAATGCAGCAAAAAAAATATTAACAAAAAATAAATGAAGAAGTGATAGATATTGGAGAAAGCAAAGGCAATGATAATCTGCTGATATGGGATATAGAGCGATAGATTTAAGGGAAATTTCTTAATGATTATAGTAATTATGAGAGGTTACATTATAGTGAAAAATACAGCAATCAAAAAAGGCAAGCTTTTGAAAAATTCTAAAAATTGCAACAAGCCAAAATATATCATAATTAATGTAAATATATGGCATATAAAAGAAGGCTTTTGTAAGTGATAGTATAGGAAGTAAAATAGGTGAAGGTTTTTTTTGTATAAAGTGAGTAAACGAATTTTGATATTTTATTTCCAATTTCATCAAAATGTATAGGAAATGTGAAAATTTAACATCTCAAATCATAAAGTCTCCATTTCTACTTCTCTAATTATATGATAATGTATACGATGAAATGGAACAGATTAGATTTCAAAATATACTTCAAGATAATTTTTTTTTTGATTTTGATAATTTAACAAGATATTCTAGAAGTTTATTATAGTAAATAATATAATGAAAAAGAAACAGAAATAAAATACAGTAGGTTTTCTTTTTCCTTTTGTAAATTATATAATATTTGAGCTTATAAGGAAAAATTTTGGAAGAAAGAAAAATAAAATTGGCACTCAGAAAGAAAGAATTAAGATAATATTCTAACAAAAATAATATGAAATATTTGAACGGATTTTCAACGTCTACGATCCGATTCTGTTTCACGTTTATAACTACATTCTTGTGATTGTTCCCTGTAAAAAAAAAGAAAGTTGTATATCAATTGAAAAATATATTTTCATTGATATGATTATTTAAAATAGATATTCCGATGAAGTGAGGAAATTCTCAAAGAATAAAGAAATACAGAGAATTTCATTAATAAAGAAAAATAACGAATGGAAAGGAAGATTTGTTTTTAAATTATATAGCTTTAAGGAACAGATGAATTGAAGAATGATTTTCTTTTAATAATTTTGACGAAATTAATACCACTCTTAAGAATGCTCGAAGTTTAAATATTAATTACTCTTATGAAGTTTAAAAGAAACTCACTTATACTCAGTGGGATTTCCATCTTTATTGATACGCCGACCGCTACTACTCTTAACTTCTCGATCATAAGTCTCATAACCACCGGGTATTTGCTCATGACGATGATCACGTTCATACATATTACCACCATTATTCATCATATTTGGTAATGGCATTAGTAGTGAATCACGAAATTCATTCTCCAACCGAGCCATATCTTCATTACGTCTTAATAAAATTATACATTGTAGAATTCCATTACATTCCATTAAACAGTAAAATTAAGCTGAATTTCATGTTTAACAATTGCTTAACCAACCGTCTGATAGATTGTGTAAAACCACGTCCTTCGTCCCAATCTGCATAACTTCGACTCTTAATGATTGGCCTGTAGAAGTCATCAGATGGCGCTCTGGTACGATGTGGTGGAGGTATCGGTGCATCACAATCACGAGGTAAAGTTGGTGGAAATTCCACAAATGGAGCGCCACTCTGTTGACTACCACGACGATGGGATGACGAACGATAATAATCACCATCGTAGTTGACACCCAAACCCGAATCGTATACATCACCTAAAATTAAAATTAAATTCTTTTATCAATTCAGCTATATAAGGTGATTTTTTAAACTAAATTTGCATGTATATTGATTTTATAACGGAGGTGCACTATTATTTTTTACCGATCAAAATTCGAACTAAAAATTAACAAATAATTTTAGATAAAATATGAAGTACTAACGAGTAGAAAAGCTTTTGTGAATGCGCCCATTACGACCAGACGAATTATGATGCACTTCTCGAATATCACCGTTCGGATTATATCGCAACTCTCCACGCCTCAAGCTATCAGATAATGATGAACCGTAACGTCCATTGGAAAAATTCCCACCTGTTATCAAACGTCCGTCATCGTAATAACGCTGAAGCCATTTCTGCGTATTATATAATTCAAAGAAAAAAGTTATTGTTAATTTTGAGAGAAGGAAAAGAGAAAATTTCACAGTTTCACATTTTTCTCGTCGATTTCTCAAGATATCCATTTAAACTTTTTATGAATAAAGTATACCCTATCCTTTTCACGACGCGTCGTTACAGATCGCATATAGCTTTCATGTCCAGGTAAATAACCATTCTGTCGTGATAAGGAATTGCTACGATAACCTGAAAATGGGAACTACAATTATTTTATAAAAATTCTCCCAAAGAAAACAATAGCATCTTCAATCTGTAACTCACAACTTAATCCACCCAAAATTTCGGCTGTCAAATATTTCTAAATTAATTCATGTCATTTACAGATAAAAGAAAAAAAAACAATTGGAAACAAATAATGATAATGACGATCACATTTTCGGTTTGTTCTTGTTAACATTTTATTCTAAAAATCTTCCTCATTTTGCAAAATTGAAATTGCTGATTTTCATTTTAATATTCTTGAAGACAAACTATATTGCTCTCTAATGGTAGTTAGGTCTGAACAGTATCGTCGTTACCAAATCACGTAGAAAATTTCAACGAATTCAGATTTCTCAGAAAAAAAGCAATGGAGTGAAATAGGACAAATTATTTAGTTCATGCTGCAGAATTATGCAAAGAGTTGGAATCATTACCAGTAATACAACACAAGAACTTGTGGCTAGTATCATACAAAAATATATGAAGCAATATTCATTTTGAAAAACTTGAAAAACTGAAAAATCTTGCAAATTGAAATATTTATTCTAAAGCGTATTAAGGGGGAATAACTGCAACCAGAGTTCAACTTCGATACGTTTAATCAGAGAGATAGTTTTTCTCATTAGGCCACATCTAACTTTTCGAGCTACGGCAATGTATTTTCCATTTTTCAAAGCAGGTACTTTCCACTCTTATAACTTCGAATTTTTCAAATCTCACCACGTATTTTAAAGCAAGATTTAATTAACATAGCAGAAGGAAAATAAATGCAAATAAAAATTTGAAAATTGCTTCACCTTCATCACTGTACCCATTATGTGTGTAAGCTTCACGATTACCGCCACGATGATGATAAGTTCGATGTGAGCTGCGATGCTTCTTTTCTTTCTTCTCTTTCCGTTGTACTCGTCTTTCAATTTCTTCAATCCGTTTATGCTCCTCCACTCTTTGTACTGTTTCCGTTATTTTTGGCTTCTAAAATTGTTACACTTTTCAGGATTTTCAAAAAAAAAAACGAGAAAAATCTGAAACAAAGAAATGCAATGTTTCCAATGCAATCTCTTAAAGTTGGATAAATTAAAAAAAATCTTCAAACGTTTTTTAAATTATAACTAAAAAATTAATACGAACCGCTGCAATAATTCGCCGTTCATCCCAACGATCAGTTTGAGCTACATGTCGTGGTTCTTCTGCATACATCATCTGATCCTTAGTTTCCAACTCACGACGTTTCATAATACCACGGGGCTTATCATCCTGAAACTTCGGATGTGATAGTAATCTCGACTAAAATTGTTTGAATTTAAGTTTAGATTTCAACAAATCTCAATTAGAAATTATGGAATTTAACATTAAAAATGTTCAATTTCTGATAACTTTTGCATCTTTCACAGCTATAAAAATTATATATTTTGACAGTCTGTAATATAAAACTTTGATATATATATATATGATACCTTGGCAAAGACTTACCTATACTTTCTGTAATTTCATTAAAACAATAGGCAATTGAATAAAGATAAATTAATGATAATAATTGAGAAGGGATTTAAGAAAGTATTACCAATGTTAAATGTTATCATGCAAACATATACGAGGAAAGATTGAAGAAGTAAAAACGTAAATACATAAAGCTTTATTGAACCTTTACAATTTCAAAGATTTTACTGTTAAATCATTGTGTTTCGGTATTTTTAATGGTTCTTTTTGGTGTCACTTGTCACTTCTCATTACAAATGACCTCCAAAATGTGTCAACAGACATTCAGCATTACTTCTTTTATCACATAAAAAATTTCAGTCAACAAATGTATTTGTTATAACTTATAATATAAATTACTGATTTTTTTTAATGAGAAATACTTAAAGATATTTTTGTGAACAAACTTTGAAAATTAAAATTTATATTAGAAATTAGAAAAAATACTTTTGAAGATAATTTAAAGAAAACAGAAAAGTAAACGCTAAAATGCAATCAATCATATTGTCCTTTATCAATATTTGATTCAAATTCACAAACGATCACAACTTTCCTGCAGCATTTTCTGTTATAAGCTTATGAAAGTAGTATTAAATTCCATGGAATGAAAGACAGAGTATAGAATTATAAAAAAATTGTACGAATTATTAAAGTCAAAAATTTTTTTAATCATAATTTTAAATGTATTCGAATACAATAAATAATACTTCGCTTCTATCAAATTATTCTTATTTGGAAATATATTTTTCAAGTTGAAATCTAAGAGAAGTAGCACTATTGTATAGATTTGTGGAGATATGGTTTTTCATAAATTTATGAAAGATTTGATACTTATTAAAATATTGCAGTGATTCAGAAAAGAACACAAACGATATTTCAACAATCTTTTAACGATACAGAATTTTGATAATTTATTTGAATCTATTTTTTTTTTTGAAAAAATGTGCCTTATGAAAATGTGTAAGTGGAGGATGTATGCTAGGATTAGTTAGAACCCTTACAAAATAATACCATTTAAGATACCTTAATCTTAATCAATGTTCCACGTGTATCACTCTCCAGTGTCGGCAACGAAGCGTACCGTTCGATGCGTCTCTCGAAATTCTCATTGAATTCACGAGTCATCGTGGACTGCGCTGAATCCGTTACGGGGCCCAAACGTGCCGGCATATAGGGCCAATGCTGTTTCTCACTCTAAATTTACTCATTTGTCAAATAACTGTTTTCAAAGACTTTTTAAGAATACTAAATGCAGTTCTGAAAATATTCTTATCATTGATTAAACAATAAATTGATTGTAAGCAAAAAAAAAGCCCGAAGGCGATAGAAATAATTTAATGAATCAAAGTGCATTATAAATTCGAAATATTCAACAGCCATAACTTTAGATTAGAAATTCTTGAATTCAATTAATTATGGTAAAAAAATAATCACATTCAAATATGGAGCAAAAATTTTAGATTTGAAGAGTTTTAAGAAATTGATAAAAAAACATTTTAAAAAAGAAAGAAATTTCATATAAATAAAGAAGATTCTAGAATAATCCTGGAATCCTAAATTAATGCTAACGGAGTCAAAACTATTTTATTATGCCACAATTCCGCTGAAAACATTTTCATGAAAAATCAAATTTTCATTTTAAACTTCTGATATTGATATGTGAAATAGAAATTCTTGGACATGAGAGGTTTTCTGACATAAATATAAAAATTATTTTAGAAATTTAACCAATATCCGCTTCTATATTTCACAGTTAAAGAGATATATAATGAGGAAGTGCCATTTATATATCCTGATAAATAGAAATTATAAATGTAAAAGTAAATTAATGATAAAAAGGGAGAGACCGACTGATTGAAACAATAATAGAACCTGTTTCAATTGGTAACTATTATTCCTGTGTACATTCTAAGAATTAAATTAGGCCTCTATATACTACCATTTGCGCATCTAATAAATCAAAGCTTGAAATTTCCGGATTTCTCATTCTTCCGGAATAAGATCAAATGATCTGCTGATTTACGACATCAGTTGCGCTCTTGCTATCTGTCGTAATTACATCGATCAAATGTTCCAAATATCGTTAGATCATTTTTTTTAGCAAAAAAAGCTTAACAATATATAATAGAAAGATTTAAGCTAACTATCACTAATAAAATTTAGATTCTGAAAGCCTTCACTTAGCTCTTGAACGATATGCAATGATCAAGAATACCTTATCGATTAATTTTAAGACTAAAAAGGATTGTTCACTATATCATAGGAAAAAGATTTATTTACTGCTAGCATATACGAAATAATAAAAATTTACTCAATCAGTAAATTTTTTTAAAATTAATTCAGGCTCAAATATCAATGTATCTGGGAAGATATATAGAAATTGAAGTGATAAAATTAGGTATTCAAATAGTTAAATTAATCATTGGAATATAATTTCGAGTGTTTCTATTAGCATTTCCATCCAATAATCATATTTTTTCGAGAATCTTTTTTTATAATTTCGAAAAAGTGAAATATTTGTTGAAATCGAAATAAATGTAAAATTTTCTGTGTTATAAATTTTTTATTTTTAAAATCAACCAAAGCAAAATTTGGCAAATAGCACGAAAGGGATGATATGAAGAAGAACGAATAAAATGTGCGCATAAAACTGATCGGTGCTATGATGTGTAATGTATCATCACTTCAGAAATGTGCAAAACGATTAAAGCGTAACCAAAGAAGCCTTTTGTTTTTTAAACAAAACATTCAAATAAATCTGAATGTTAAAAAGCTTTGGAAAAATTAATGAAATTCCGAAACTTAAATATTTCGAAAGAGATAAAAATGTTTAAAAGCTTTTATAATGCACACAAATATTCTCGGATTTTTTGAAAAATTCAAGAGCTTTTTATTTTTGGAAAGAATGATTTTTGTTGTTGAGGTCAGGCCATTTATTTCATCGTTTTAGTTTTATTTTTTGATGATGGATGGATGGATGGATGATATTCAGGTTTTAGATGAGAAATTTTTGCCAAAATTTTAGATAAGAAATTTTTGCCAAAAGCTTCGGGAAAAAAAGCAAGACCTCAATGTGTGCAGTTTGCACGGCAGCATTGGAGCGGGAAAGGGTACGCCAGAGGCCTGGGGATAGATCGGTGCGCACTTTCAACAAACCATCCTTGGCGCCACCATTTACCGAAACAACAGAACGAGGTGAAAATGAATGGGATGAGAATTGCCAAGTAGCTGATGAAGCATCCTGAAAAGTTTTTTTGAAACAATACAGGTGACTTTTTTCTCCTGAAATTACGAGACTTCGTTGAAAATGGAGGCTTGACATGGAAAATTTTTGACACCTAATAGAGGGTGGTAATTGGTATGGTAAGTTGTGAATAAATAAATCAAAAATCAAAAAAGCTGTTTCTTTTCCTTTAGAATAAGAAAATAAAATTTTAAATTTTTGTAAAATTCTTTTCAAAAAAGATTTAAGTTGAAATTTCAAATGATAAATATAAAAAAAAAACGGAGGTTATTAAAATTATCAGGCGTGAAATTGTTACTAATAATATTAAAAACGCAGCAACAATCACAACAGATTAGAAAAAAAAAGAAACACTTTCGTAGAAAATTCGGTATTTGTTGTTTAGAGAAGCATTTCTACGAAAATAAACAAATTCAATTGTTGTTTTTTTCCTTTGTTCAAAGCATTGTAAAAGAAAAGTAGAAAATTGATTTCCATGAAGGAAGAAGCGCATCCGTACCGTAATGTAACCAGATCGATCCTGTTGTGGAATGGTTGAATTAACCGATGTATCGTTGGAAATGCGCGATTCGAGCATATCACGTATTTGCTCCTGGAAGCACAAACACAAACATCCCATTAGTTCCATTTTCCTTCTCGAAAATTTTGCCATAAAAAAGCTAACAAAATAGATAAAAGAAAATAAGAAAGAAAAACACAAAAGAAAATTAGAGAAAAAAAGAATACGTGGATCCTAAAACTATCAATAATTAATTCTTCATTTAAATTTATCAAAAAAATTTCTTAAAAAAAGCCTTTCTACTCAATGTAAAATGTTCTTTGTGATAAAGATACTGATAAATGAAATTAAAGGATAAAAATATCCTATAAAGTTAATTTGAATCTTATAAATCCTATAATTGTAATGTTAAACTCCACACTTCGATAATCCGTATTTTTAGATATTATCAAATAAATCACTATTACAGCATGACTTTTTAGTTATGCCAGATAAACTAAAGCTTAAAAAATCAGTAATTTCAAAAATTATCAAAGGAGCAGAAAATTTGCCTCATAAAATTTATTTATTTGAATTAAATCGGAGGAATGGATTAGAATTGTCGTTTGTTATCGTGTAATTATTAAATACTTAAATAGCTCCCCCATATCAGGAGAGTTGCAATTTGAATACAGGCAAAGAAATTTGTGAAACAAAACTGAATTAAATATGTGGAAAATTTTTTTTCTTCCCACATTAGCGCTATTCTTATTTTTTTTTCCATATTTTGTGATGTAAATCAAGATTTTCTCTAATTTGAACTATTCCAAAAAATTATTAAAAGTTTTATTAATGTTTAGTTTTGAAATTTTAGCTCGAAAAATAATTCGGTAAAAATTTAATACGAAAAGGACAGATCGAATTGTTTCCATAAGATGCCAAATGGAATGATTTACTCATCCGATCGATCGTTCGATTTCGATAGTCGAAGGATGTCGGAAAAAGTTACCAAAAAAAGCGAACCTTAACGGTAACTGGAACTGGTTCAGGTGC